ATAGGGGATATTAAAACTCTGTAGACTCTCTATAAGCATGTTCACAATATACACCCTGAGCCCAGGAGAAGTGTCCTGAGCTAGACCGTGCAATAAACTTTATACTCTAAACAGATATGGATATATCATGCACAGTCAAGAGTCCAGATATATATATAGAGAGAGTTTACCTTAGTAACTCAACGAATCTTGAGTGCCTCCCTAAGACCAAAACTGAAGTTATTATGGTGCCCCTTCTTGCCTAGACCAGCATTGCCTTTATGCATCATCGCCACAAATTCATTGTAGTCGATTCGTCCATCCTAACAAGAGAGAAAACTTAATATCAATACCAAGTAGAGAGTTTGATATTAGAGTGTAAAGCTTGATGGCTCACATTGTCCTGATCTATTTCTCGAATAGTCTCTTCAAGACGGTTGTCTTCTATTCCAAACTCCTCGCAAGCCTTTTGAAGCTCATCTAGAGTGATGTAGCCACTGCCATCTTTGTCGAAAAATGAGAATGCTGCAAAAAGATTATCCTCTCTCTCAACCTTGTTTAGATGCATGGTTGCAGCTATAAATTCCCCATAATCGATAGTACCACTGTTATCAATATCTGCCTGAAATTTTCATCATAAACAGCTGGATTAGCATCTATAGAAAGAAAGAGGATACTCTGTGTATAATAATATGAGAAAACCATCAATGCCATATAAATTAGAAAGGCACTGTAATTGAAAGTATGAGCTTAACTAAGCAGCAACAATGAAACAAAGATGCTGTGATGACCAAACTCCAAAGAAAAGAACAATAGGCACTCCAGTAGAACCTCGTAAAATACTCCCAAAACCTACCTATAAGCACTATGGAAATATAATTATGTGCACTTTTTGAGATATGTTCAAAATTATGAGGGTAGCATACTACGCTTTGGAAATTAGACATTATATCAGAAGGAACCAGTCAGAGGAGGACCAAACCCTTGATCACCCACTTGGAGTATGAGTTGTTAATGCTTAAGCTCTAAAATCTCAATTGATGAAACCTTAGTTAAATCTAGCTCTTTTCAAATATCTTATATGTACTTATCACTTATTATAAACTATTTTTAAAAATCTCTTATACTTGATAGCCTATTTTTTAGGTTGTTGATATTAAATCTAACACACTTACTTGTCTGTGAAATTTCTTCCACAACTCTGGAGGTAGGGCAGCCTATCGATTGTTTGTTAGAACTACATAACAAGCTCAATGCCTGTCAGACCCTTGGTTACAGCTTGGCGCATTGCATTTAACTTATGACGACATCTAATGTCCTCTGCAATAAATCAGATAGCAAGAATTTTGTACACAAGTGACATTGCATTTGAAACATCAAATTTTTGCTCCCAGTCCATGATATAGTTATTTGTAATGAAGCAAACATGCATGGTAAGGCATTTTAATGTTGAAAGTTCATCTCAATTTGATAAATGTCTGATTCGACTAGTGGGTATTATGGAACTTCCACAAAAAAAACACATGCCTTATAACCACCTTTTTCCAGCAAGATACTTCTAATTGTGCTACCACAGTAGCAGGAGAAGGCTTACAGTGAAACCAAAGGAAAGAGCCGGGGTGGGCCGGGGGGGTTAAATAGAGTATTTCAAATTAATGTTTTAAATGTCGGCCGACATGTCAGCTGACATGTCGGTTTGATGGCTCGAACGACACGAATTGGACAATTTCAAGTCGTGCGTCATTTTCCAGGTTTAAGTTGGAAAAGTCGGGGATATATCGGCCATATTGGCCGATTTTTCAGCTTTGAAAAATCGATCTATGTAGCATTTTTCTTTTTTCCTGCTGTTTTTTTCTAATCGGGTTTGGGTTTAGTGCTGAAAACCTGAACACATTTCACTTTTGACCTGTTCTTAAAGATATGAACTCGATAGAAAAACAAAAACAAAACCTAGGTCAAAATCGTCGCCTCGTCCTCGTCCTCTCTCTCCCTCGTCCTCATTGTTGCAAGGTTGGAACT